ATATTTATCATTAATGTTTATTATTTAAATGAAATTTTATAACTAGTGTTTGAAATTAAAATCAAGTTAAATGTATTAATTAATATGTACAACACAATTCTATATAAAATGTTTTCAATAAAAAAAATACAGAAATTCAATTTATCTATATGTTAAATCAATATTAAAACTTGGAGTTGAAAAATTTTATAGTCTAGCCATTATACCACTGTCTCTACTATTATATTAAAATGTTATGAAGCCTTTACTTATTATTTTATCTTATTTCTCTCTATCTGTCTATCTTCACCCATCTTTAAATATCTGTGATTTAGCTGCCTAAAAGTTAGCCTTCTATATCTTNTTTAAAAATCTGTGGGTCTTGTAAATCTAGATATGTTATAAGTTAGCTTTGATTGTTTAACAATAAAAAATGAATATTTAGTCAAAAAATAACTTGCTTGCCATGATTTTAACAGACAAAATCTGTTTGAATTTTTTGGCAGGTGGGGACCAAGAGTTGGAATCTTGCTTAGTCAGATGTAATATAATGTATCCAAATTTTGTCCCCAGTCCTCTAAAAAATTTTCATCATCACAGATCACAGCAAATTTTGCAAAATGAGTACCATTCAATGTTCCCATGGTTTTCAATATTTTGATTTGGAACCCAATGTGCACATTGTTTTTGGTATCTAAGAACTTTATGACCAATTCTCTCGATCTTTGACAACTTCCATATTTTAACCTTCAATCATTCTGTAACATTTCTTCCACACATTCACTGTTCTGTGACGTTTTTGGCTTCCCACTTCTTTCTTGATCTTGCAAACATGTGTCCATCTTTATATTGAGAACACCATACTGTGATCTGTTTTGCAATAATGCATTTTCACCATAAATTTCAGCAATTATGAATTTCTGTAGGAGACAATTGTTTAGTGTAGAGAAAATAAGTTACACAATTTATTTTTGTGTAGCCAGAAATAGGCAGTGCCACACTTGGACTTCATATAAAGTCAAAAAAAAATTATTTCTTTTTGTTTTATATATATATAAACTGAAGTGTAATTATATTTATTATTATTCATTCAATTATTTTTCTTTTAAAAATGTTAGCACATTTAATTAAATTAATATGATTTTATATTTAATCTATAATTTATGTTCATATAATAATTTTTAATTTTTGATAATTTTTTAAAATTCTAGATTAAAGTAAAAAATATTGAAGAAGAAGAAACATCAGATCAAGAAGAGGAGCCACTCGATAAAATAGAAATATATTCAGAAATGTTAAAATTGATGAAACCGGGAGAAACAGTAAGGAAAGCCATTTGCAGATTGGGTGGTGGTAAATCGTCATATACGACGGCATCGAATAAATGGAGAAGAAAAAAACACGAAGACAAATCGGATGATGATGATAAAGAAAGCCAAAACAAAGAAGAACTTTTGCAACTTACGAGTCTTGCAAATAAAATCCTTTTAACCGGAGAAATGGACATATATGAACAGTTATACGAAAGATTAAATTTTCTTATTAAAGAAAGTAAAAATGAAATGAGGACTGAAACGTCGTATGAAACAAATAACAGTGAAACGCTTGATATGTTTTCTGAGAGTGTCGACGATAAAATGTTCTCAGTTGCCGATAATGTAAAACAAGATAAACCGTCAAATGAAAATGATGCCAACAATACTCTGTTGAGTAAAGGTAAGAAGTTTTATATTATGAATTTTTGATATTAGTCAAAAATGAATTTGTGTAGTAGAATTCATGTTTTTAAGTACATGTAAAATTTAATTTGTTATATATCAATCATTTTCAGTAATTTTAATTATGGTAAATCTTTGAATAATTATTTAGTCAGTTTGATTTTCTGAAATATTTATGTATTTCAATTGAAAATTATTTCAATATATAACTTAACAAAACATGAATCATGTCAGAAACTTTATCCAAGAAATATGAATATAAATATATTTGGATTCTTATTATTACTGTGAGATATGCAGTGGGTCAGGGGTTAATCTGGTACTGACCACTTAATTTGCACAGGCTGGTAAAGCCCGATCTCGAAGTCGTAGGATGGCTAGGAGGGCAATTCGAGTGGGGAATGCGTCAGTAAGTCGACAGGTTTCCTCGGATAGACAGGAGACAGGTGTAACAAATAACAAAATAAATGTTTATTCTATAACTAAAGTAATTTACAGGAGTATACAAGTTACTGATTATAGCTTAGATGCGGATAATATAAATTTATCTAAAAGGTAGCTGTAACTATTCACTATGCCGCGTGAGAGAATTTACAAAGAGAGTTATATTGGCGGTCAGTTATACCTTATGTCAGAGGACGGTATGCGCCGATCATTTGGACTATGGAAGCTGGCTGGCTGTCACAGGCTTATGTCTTCTACCAGACAGGATCGGGACAGAATCAGGACGGGAGACACCGTACTCAGACCTTCCAGATGATAGCGCGGAGGGACGGTCGAACTGAGGGGACGATCACCCGGAACTTCCGTGATAAAAACAATCATCGTTGGCATTGAGCCAACAGGTCGTTCACTCGTTATGCTGACTAATTAGCACGTGCACGTTGACTAATTAACAAATGGACGATGTGTAAGATTCCACATCTGATCTATTTCCGTTATATTTTTTTCCATCCTCTAATGAAAAAAATTGTTAACCCTAAAAATTTTCGAACTCAAACCCCTCGGGTTCACATTACCTTCAATTACATTAATTTTTCTCACAGCAAACATTATCTGGGTTTAATGACATATGATTTTTATTGTGGTATGTTTAAATTTTACATATGCATTTTGGACTTATGTATTGTCTTAGCCCCTCTTCAGTGCTGTTTAAAACAATAAATCATGATATACTACATTATGTAAATTGCAATAACATAGTTACTTACATATGAGAGAATTACAATTCAAAATCATTGGTACACAACATTAAGATATGAACTATAAGTAAAGTACACTTCGTATGTTATTCTGGTGAATTATCAAACAGTAGTTTATAAAAAAAAAACCTTAAAACCGAATTTATATATATAAAACAAACGTCTAAAATACTCTAACAAGGAGACCCTACGGCTTTGGGGAAACGGATTTTGATGATCTTTGGTGTAGAGGTAGTATACCAGGTGATTGTACTACCTGTTAAATACTAAAGTGCAAAACTCAAATATAATTGAGAAAAACGAACTTAAAGTTTTCTTTAGCACTTTATATATAAGTTAAAGTGCTAAAGAAAACTTTAAGTTCGTTTTTCTCAATTATATTTGAGTTTTGCACTTTAGTATTTAACAGGTAGTACAATCACCTGGTATACTACTTCTACACCAAAGATCATCAAAATCCGTTTCCCCAAAGCCGTAGGGTCTCCTTGTTAGAGTATTTTAGACGTTTGTTTTATATATATAAATTCGGTTTTAAGGTTTTTTTTTTATAAACTACTGTTTGATAATTCACCAGAATAACATACGAAGTGTACTTTACTTATAGTTCATATCTTAATGTTGTGTACCAATGATTTTGAATTGTAATTCTCTCATATGTAAGTAACTATGTTATTGCAATTTACATAATGTAGTATATCATGATTTATTGTTTTAAACAGCACTGAAGAGGGGCTAAGACAATACATAAGTCCAAAATGCATATGTAAAATTTAAACATACCACAATAAAAATCATATGTCATTAAACCCAGATAATGTTTGCTGTGAGAAAAATTAATGTAATTGAAGGTAATGTGAACCCGAGGGGTTTGAGTTCGAAAATTTTTAGGGTTAACAATTTTTTTCATTAGAGGATGGAAAAAAATATAACGGAAATAGATCAGATGTGGAATCTTACACATCGTCCATTTGTTAATTAGTCAACGTGCACGTGCTAATTAGTCAGCATAACGAGTGAACGACCTGTTGGCTCAATGCCAACAATGATTGTTTTTATCACGGAAGTTCCGGGTGATCGTCCCCTCAGTTCGACCGTCCCTCCGCGCTATCATCTGGAAGGTCTGAGTACGGTGTCTCCCGTCCTGATTCTGTCCCGATCCTGTCTGGTAGAAGACATAAGCCTGTGACAGCCAGCCAGCTTCCATAGTCCAAATGATCGGCGCATACCGTCCTCTGACATAAGGTATAACTGACCGCCAATATAACTCTCTTTGTAAATTCTCTCACGCGGCATAGTGAATAGTTACAGCTACCTTTTAGATAAATTTATATTATCCGCATCTAAGCTATAATCAGTAACTTGTATACTCCTGTAAATTACTTTAGTTATAGAATAAACATTTATTTTGTTATTTGTTACACCTGTCTCCTGTCTATCCGAGGAAACCTGTCGACTTACTGACGCATTCCCCACTCGAATTGCCCTCCTAGCCATCCTACGACTTCGAGATCGGGCTTTACCAGCCTGTGCAAATTAAGTGGTCAGTACCAGATTAACCCCTGACCCACTGCATATCTCACAGTAATAATAAGAATCCAAATATATTTATATTCATATTTCTTGGATAAAGTTTCTGACATGATTCATGTTTTGTTAAGTTATATATTGAAATAATTTTCAATTGAAATACATAAATATTTCAGAAAATCAAACTGACTAAATAATTATTCAAAGATTTACCATAATTAAAATTACTGAAAATGATTGATATATAACAAATTAAATTTTACATGTACTTAAAAACATGAATTCTACTACACAAATTCATTTTTGACTAATATCAAAAATTCATAATATAAAACTTCTTACCTTTACTCAACAGAGTATTGTTGGCATCATTTTCATTTGACGGTTTATCTTGTTTCACATTATCGGCAACTGAGAACATTTTATCGTCGACACTCTCAGAAAACATATCAAGCGTTTCACTGTTATTTGTTTCGTACGACGTTTCAGTCCTCATTTCATTTTTACTTTCTTTAATAAGAAAATTTAATCTTTCGTATAACTGTTCATATATGTCCATTTCTCCGGTTAAAAGGATTTTATTTGCAAGACTCGTAAGTTGCAAAAGTTCTTCTTTGTTTTGGCTTTCTTTATCATCATCATCCGATTTGTCTTCGTGTTTTTTTCTTCTCCATTTATTCGATGCCGTCGTAT